TCACGTATAATACATAAATAAGGGATAATATAATGATCTGCGCTCCGATGACGATTTATTCCCCAGAAATCCTTCCCGTAGTAAATCTTTTTACTTTAACTCCTTTTTCTTGGAAGTTGTTTAGTTTTGGAATACTCTCCTTTTTCATATTAAGCGGGCACAATCGCTTTCTATTTTCAAGCCACTTTAAAAAATCTTACTTTAACTAACGAATAAACTCTCAACGATCCAACTCGATCAATCGCTATCACCAATATATTGGCTATCACTCAAACGCACAGAACACTTTTACTCAAATGTGTCTCCCGAAACCTAACGCTCCCTTAAGTCAAGATGGCGCCTCGACCCCACTCGAGGCATGTACTCTGCTCTGATTGGTCGTTACGTGGTTTACAATATTCGTAACTTTTATTTCATTACTAAGGTTTAAAGTTAATGTAAAAATGTAACAAATCAAATAAAATAAAATTAAGATTTTTAAAAGTGATAAAAAGGTAAACACATAATTTTATGGATTATACACACGCAAACATCCCGAGACATAGCTTCCACCGACATAATATTTATATTTTATTTATTACTTTATGTTATCATTTTAGTGTAAACCCTTACCCGACACTATTGTTTTTGTATCTCCTTTTTCTAGGTTGCCTGGAAGAAATCGCTTTTAGCGATAAGGCCACCTATTGTACAGATTTGTATTATTTGCTGTTGATACTCGTAATTCGATATCAGTTGTAGTGTACAGTAAAGTACAAAAGTATATTTCATTCATTCATTCACTCGTAAGATTTAATCAAAAAATATTGTCCACGTCAAAATTGACACCTTTTATACCAGTGAGATGTTATCGTCTCATTTCTTCAAGAATAATGGCTCAAATTAGCTCACCTTCAAAAGAGACAAATTATATTTACTCACAGTCACGAATGTCACAGTGCCATTTAATTAATCGCTGGAATTGACAAAGTTGATTTATTACTGAAAGCGACAGTGAACGGTATGGCGCAGAACTTAAGGCTTTTTCTTGCATTATTTGTTACCAAGTTGTATGCTGTAAAGGAAAAATATAACACAGTCAATACTTTTATAAACTACTTACTTTATTCGATTGTTTTAAATCGTTTACTTTCTATTGCTAATTCATACGTTGAACTCTATTATCAATATCTGATGGCGCGCTAGATGGATAAGTATATACGTGGAGGCTTTTCTGAGTGTATCCATTTTTTTAATTTCATAATTGTTATATAAAAAATTATAAAAATTTAAAATCACTCGTAAATAATTAAATACATTCATTTGAACTTATCTCAAAAGGTGCGTGATTTATGGGCAACTCATTTATTTTACGCGCGAACATTCATAACTAACATGAACACAAGTTCGTTTCAAAAGTATCCGACGCATTTATGAATGACTAAACATTGTCAACAAGGCAAGTTTTTTGAAAAAAAAATAATTTTTTTTCATTAAACAATTATACTACCGAGTCTGAACCGCCTGTGTGAATATGGGCATCTTTAGAAAAGCCACCCTGTATATTTATAAACAGGTAAATATACTGGTAATGGTATGTTTAAATATCTTATTGTAATGGACTTTACAATTCCATACTAATATTATAAATGCGAAAGTAACTCTGTCTGTCTATACAGCGTGTCGTTACCATCGCGACAATAAATGAACACATGTCTAACGCTACTTGCCAATAATCATAAAAAAATATTAACGTTAAACAAAATCCATAATTAAAAAAAATATTTTTCAAACAAACTAATTAAGTAAAAAAGAAACAAAATTTGTAACACCTATACAACTCGCGCCACAGCGTCGCATTACAAGCCTCTCCTTCTAACAGTATGTTTTGTCTCTTTTAAATTCATTGAACCCATTCATATGCTTTGTGACCTTTACAAATGAACTTTACGTTACAGTTATACGTAAGGGTGTTCTAAAATTGTTTGTTTTGGAAAATTTAATAACTCGGTAAATATTGATGTTTAAAGAATGTAAATGTTTAATACAATTTTAAAAAGTTATCCTCTATATGTGTGTTCATTTATTGTCGCGGTGGTAACGACACGCTGTATATGTATACATATGACTGAATGTATTGCTAAGCGCAAATCTCGAGAACATTTAAACCGATTTCGCTAATTCTTTTTTTCTAACATTCCTTGAAGTATGGTTCTTACGGAGAGAAGAAAAAACCTGAAAGTTTAAAAACAATAGTTTTCTATTTTACAATATGAACTTTAATACCATTACATAAAGTTTAAGTGTTAGTGGAGGGGTTCCGGGAACGCAAAAATGTAAATTGTCTGTGGTAAAATGTCACTTGAAATGTGTCTTTGCTGTGCAATACGTATGTCTTATAAAACAAAGTCGTCCCGCTGTCTGTTTGTCCCTATACTTGTATGCTTAGATCTTTAAAACTACGCAACGGATCTTGATGCGGTTTTTTTACTAGATACAGTGATTCAAGAGGAAGGTTTATATTATAAACATTGCACCCGTGCGAAGTTGGGGCGGGTCGCTAGTTTATATAAAATTGTATGCTCAACTGTGATTTAAATATTATTTTGTAATATACTTGAATTTATAAATTGTTTTTGATTTGATTATTATTTTGATATGTATATATATCTATGATATTTCAAAATTTCGTTTGATGTTTCGGGACGTTTGTCATTTGAGAATCATTTGGTGTTGTGAGTAGATATAAAAGGGAGAGAAGCAAAGTACAGAGGGAGTTCCTCAGTTGCTACTTGACGAGCAAGGTATTAACGTCTAAGGTACGATATATTTCTCAGTATTAATTAAGCTGTCTATAACTTAATGTTATTATAGTAGTTTGTCTACAAATTATTGCTGTGTGTTATATGATTGTACTTATGTAATATGAAAAAAGAAAGAAAGAAGAAAAGATAGAGGCCGCAGAGTTTCTTGTCGCTTCTTCTCTGGACAGGTCTTTAAACAATAAAATAATTAGAGTTCTTCCTAATTATAAAGAAGCTTAAAATAATTAATTATGCTACGTATTTAATCCTTATTAAGCCTATTAACACTGATATTACTTAAACATTTAAAACTATAGGGTATCATGGCAATTATTAAACTATTTATAATCACCACTTAAAGAAATGTTTAATTTAATGAGATATCCTTTTCAATTAAAAAAATAATTATGATCCTTAATTAATCGCAAATATAACACGGTCTGTTACTTGGGTATAACTAAAGTGTTAAAATATCATTAGTACAACAACTTGTAAGGCTAAATTAATTAATAAAAATGAATTTTTAATAAAGGCTAAATTTATTTATTATAAATTCATTTTTAATAATTAATTTAGCCTGTCTAAATTGTAAAAGGAAAAAGGAACACTGGGTATCCAGTTCTTTATGATTACGATGATTTTGACTTATAATATAACGCCTACTCTCTTGATCGACACATAATAGTTGTTCTTTGTAAAAATCGAAAGAGTTTGTTCAAAACAAATTTCCTATTAATTTACATCGAAGGTATAAAACACAATTTTTAATGAAGCCAGTTATTACAAAATCTCCTAGCACTTTTTGCGATAGCGGTACTCAGATTTAATGATTGGCTGTGTAATATAAAGATGACTATTGCCTAATTGTACTAAAACTACTATAGTATGTGTTGGCAACATTAAAAGAAGTCGTTCCTTAAGGTCGTTGGCAATACTAAAAGTGTCATTCTATAAGCTGCATGAAGCATTTCATGGTCTTCTCCTTTGGCTGTCAACAATAAGTATACGCGAGAGTGCTGCCCAATAGGTATCATAAATTAAATTGTTAGAGTGGTGTTTCATTAGTGATATTAAAGTGATAAAATAAGTAGTTATACCAGTGTTATTGTTGTGCAAAGTGAAACTTCGGTGATTTGGTAAAAGTATTTATATTTCTACGTGCTTAGCTCGATGAAACAAAGTATAGCTAACATATGACACATTCTCGTGTTATGGGGACATTTACTTGTACTAATTCCACATCAGTGATAACTCTTATCACAAACAATGTTGGGTAGACATCGAAGCCAGTATCATCTCAGCAACTGTCCCGTCCGTAGTCATCGATTGTAACGTGCAGTAACCATTTAAGTAAAGTAAAAAATATTTAAAAAAGCCCTTAAATAAATCTCTTTTTATATATTTTTTGTAATAAAATAATGACCTTTTCAATACTTTATATAATAAGTGTACACAGTTTCATGATAATTAGTCGAGTAGTTTTGGCGTAAAAGCATAACAAACAAACTTACATTCAAATTTATCATATTAATTATTAGGGATAGGGATTGACACATTTTGATCTAAACAAAGTCAAAAAGGCTAACAAACACGAAACTTTTATATGCTCCACCCAAATAATAATCAAGAATTTTCAGCCTTTATTTTTTGAATACATTTGTTGGAACTCATTCGATAGACTTGCTATGTAGATATAAGTTAAGCAATATAAATACATATAAAATAAACGAATAAAATACAATTATTTAGCAAATATTAAATGATTCATGCATGCCCTCTTTCCGATTTTGTGGGACGGTAATTTATTGAAGATAAACCCACTGCGATGATGTGTGCATATTATAAGTATGCAAAATTTTAAATTATTACAATGGGTACACCTGATAATTAATCTTTAGCTTACTCACGGAAATTATAAAAAGAACCAAAACTATCTATCCACCTATATGATACATATAATTATTAATATGTTTCATACTTTTAAACGAGCAATTCTTGTATAATCTGTAATATAATTATAATCTGAATCTCGGAAAAGGTTCCAGCGATTTTCATAAAATTGAGTACCTATTCGGGAGTTTCTGGGGCGATAAATGTAGATAGTGTACCATACACTAGGTATGCACTAATAAAACACAGATACAAAACAGATACAACACACAATAAAAAACAGATACAACCATACACACTCCTACTCGCTCCGCGGCTGAACAATGAATGTGCGGTGAGCTGTTGCTCCTGGCGCCCCCACCACCGCACACCTTGCCAGTATGCGTGTGTATATTTATTAAGTATACTTTACAGATAGGTTTTAATTTTAGAAAACGTCGTGTTTTCAGACAATGCTACAATATCATTAGAATATGACTGTAAATCATGCCACCATCTAAGAGGTTATATATCTCTCATCTAAGAGGCTTAGGTGGGAAATTGGGCGGTTCCGAACGCCGAAAACTCCGCTTGAAGTCCAGATGGTTTTTTATTTTCTTCCTATTTTTACAAATTCTTTAATTTGTGAAAAAAAAAAAAACCACTAGGTCATCCAGGTACCATAGTGTAAAACGACAAATTTTTTTAATAGCGCCTACTATGAACCATATTCATAGTACTGATACACATGTACAAATTTGATTATACTTAATAATTACAAAAAAAGTTCTGATATGTGTGCTCATTACAGAAGGTAACAGCCATATATATTCGTACGTTTAAAATTAAAAATTCTGTAATTTTAATCTATGACTATTTAAATAATAATTCTATAATGAAAATTGAAAAGGTTAAAATTAATAAGAAAATTTTCAATTCATAATGAGGAATTCCCAAACACATTTTTTTAAATGATGAAACACTCATCAATTTATTATAAAATGAATAAAAAAATAACTGATGTATAAAATACAGACATGAAAATTAAAGTTGAAATTTTCCAATCGGAGCTTTCTATGGAACCATAAATACTTGAATGAATAGGTTGACCGGAGAATAGTTCATTTCAATAAGCAATTGATTCCTACTACAGAGCAGTTTGAGTTGTGATATATAACTACAGATTGATACAGTTTCAATTTGCTCGATATTACAAGTAAAGTATGCTATTTTACATTTATCGATACATACTGCTAATATACTACTATAATTATGTTTGATGCTTATATCAATACAATTTAATATTGATTTATTTCTAAATGAATGAGTGAAAGGACTCAATAAATTCCTTTCTCTATATTTAATTCTTCCTTTTTATTTCATTACTTAAAAATACTCTGTATGATTTTTTCATCGTTAACATTTTGTAAATAATTTTTAACATACAATAGTTTATTTCATAATACCTAGCTTCAGAAGAAATACTTATCTTTAGCTATCATTAGCTTTAAAATTACTTATCTTAAATTAAAATTTTAATAAAAAGTAAATAGGTATTTTCTTTATAGTCTTTAATTTAAAAAAAATCAGTACTTTAATTTTGCGGACACATTTATTAACAACGTTCTCTAGTCCCAAACAAATCAACGCTTGAACTATGGATACTAGAAAATTGATAAGTATACTTAAATATACTGTTCTTTTGCTAATAAATAAATATTATAGATATATAGACAGACAATACCGACAGACAGACAATACCGAGACATTAAAAAGCAATAATTTTTTCACACAATATTTTTCCAGTAGCTGGGATCGAACCCACGCCCTCTTAAGAAGCAGATTAACTACTCCATATTAAACGATGTTATGTTTTTATTTATCAATATGTTATGTTCATGTCATTTATTTTTTGAATTTTTTGTGCTGTTTGTTGGTTGTCAAAATAAAGTTTATGTCTATGTCTATGTCCCCATGCCAATCGCGTCGTCATTTCTTAACAAATCGTTACTTTGTTAATCAACGTGTTTAAAGGCTGCCAACAACGTTTTACCTTTCATTGACGATTGTGTTTGTAAGAATTTTCACTCTAGTTAAAAGTACTGGCTACCAATAAAATGTACTACGATAGTTAATAGTATGAGTACTTATACATATGTATAAGTATATTAAACACATTTATAAGTATTTTACAGAAATATTCCCGAGCTTTAATGTGTTAAAATTGACTTTCATCAGTGTTGAATCTATGTCTGTTAGAAAGGATAGCTTATAACTGTGGTAGGGCCATACCACAGCTTCGGCTGTTGCACGAATGGGCAGTTCCGTCCGGGTCCTCACAGAAGACCGACGTAAAGTAGAAGTGACATACTTCTGCATTTCGTCTGGTGAGTGAGGAAGCGGGGCGCACTTTATTATAAGGTGGCAACCATACGGGTGTTTCAAATGTCCATGGGCGGCGGTTACATAAGGTGAACCGCTAGCTCATTTACCACCTTGTAACATAAGAAAGGATAGCTATATATGATAAAGTAAAAGCGAGACTAGATTAATATTTAATTAAACTTAGTCATACTTAACTACAGTTGAAATTGAATCAATAAATTGTTCAGGTTCTCTTATGTGTTTTTCTTTGTTTCAGGAAGCCCATAATTCTACTTATGGTATCCATTATTTTATCTAAGAATACCATTGGAGCGACAATCTGCCCACACATATGCGTATGCCAAAATGTTAACGACGCCGAAATGGGTTACATTCTACGCATTGTCTGCTCTAAAGGCAAAATGGAGACTATACCCGTAGAGTCATTCGATCGCTTCGCGCAAGTTATAGAAATTTCAGCCCCGAAGGACCGTCCCAATAAACTAACTGTTGGTCCTATTTTTCTCCGTCCGAAGCTGTTTCAAAATTTGCGGAAGCTACACATCATAAATTCCAATGTTCCTTCGATTGGGAAAAATTCATTTTGGGGACTTAAATATTTAACAGTGTTAAATCTATCTTACAATAGCCTTACGGATATTAGAGCTGATGATTTTAGAGGACTGATAAGCCTCACAGAACTTAATCTTGATCACAATTATATACACAATATGACAAGTGAAACATTTAAACATCTAACGGCATTAAAAACGCTCATATTGTCACATAATCAAATATCCGAATTGGTGCCAAGGCTGTTTCGCACGCTACAAAGTCTCACTCATTTGGATTTGAGTGATAATCCTATACCGTTTTTGGATCCAGATGTGTTCATGGATATTATGGACTTAAAAATTTTTAAATGCAGAAGGTGCCTTGTGACGAGGGTCAACCTGTATGTCTATCATTTGATTAATCGTTTAGAGGAACTAGACTTAGGAGAGAATCAAATCAAGTTTTTAGCTCTTGACGAGTTTACCTACCTAAAAAAACTTAAAACACTCAGATTGGATGGAAATGAACTGTCGGTGATCGTAAACAATATGTTTGTAGAAAATTATGAGTTACAAATTTTGTCACTTAGCCACAACAGAATTGTACTGCTGGCACCTGATGCACTTGTACATCTCAATTCGCTTGTGGATTTAGACATAAGCTACAATAGAATAGAAAGTTTTCAACTGCAAACCTTCTCATCAGTAATGCGGTCATTGAAAAGGATAAATTTAAGCGGAAACAATTTACCTCCACATGAAATCGCCTACCTTCTTAAAATTTTACCCAATATAAATACTGTGGGTTTAGCCAGTTTGTCATTTGATGAATTACCTCCCAATTTTTTTAAGTATAACATACGCCTAATTGAATTAGATTTATCCTGGAATAAGTTTACTAAATTTCCTTTCCAATTGCTGGCTAAACCGAAATTATTGCAGCGTCTTGACTTATCACGAAACAGGATCGAAGGTTTGGAGGACGAGGATTTAGTGAGATTAGAGGCGATTGGCCACGTGGACTTGTCAGGAAATCCTTGGCGTTGCAACAAATGTTACGTTGGGACGATGTTTGTTTGGATGGCGACTACCGTCCTGAACGGTACCATCCGTCATCTAACTTGCAACACGCCTCTGCGGCTGCGCGGGGTACCATTTTCGGCGTTGACCCTCAAAGATTTAGATTCATGTTTTACTGGTTCCGAAGTTCAGATGCGCGTGTTAGCGGGTTTGCTACTAATTAGCTTTGCGTTGTTCACGGCTATCGCGGTGGCTATGTGCCGTACGCGCCGTCGGGCCGCTAACTACTACACGAACGAGGAACAAGCGTAGTGAACGTGAACACGAGCATCCGGAAGAACTTCTCAACTGCACTGACCACGGCACTGTGGCCACCATCCACTCCCCCTACTGCTTGGTATCTCAAACCAGCTAACAACGAACCAATGAATCGCCAAGGCAACAGCGGCACCATGTGAGGTTTGACCCGGCTCTTCCCCCTGACTCCGATGAGGATGACGTAGGCGTAGAAAACGCGATTCCTTTATCTTACTTTTTAGATCGTACATCGATGCCAGTTACTAGGGGTGATATATGATATGATGAGGACGATATGGTTTAAACAAAATGTTTAATGTAAAATAATATTTTTATCTAATACGTCTTTACCTAAGAAATTGCCGTTTTTCAGTACTGGAAAGTTCAAACAAAAAAAAGTTTTAATTGGCTGTGAATTCTAAATTCAAAAGTTTCGTTTTAAAAACATGACATTCTTTTTACAAAGTCAGTCTTTCGTTTACTGATTAGCTTTTTTTTTTGTTTTAATTAAATTTGAATATTTTTCGTCATAATGGACGCTTGAAAAATTCGTGTTATTATGGAAGTGGCGTTGTGACACAAACGCGGAACAAACGGCATGTAACGTGAACAACGTTTACAAAGAGAACTTTACAAACGAACGCACTACCGCTATTGGTTTTTCCGGTTCCGTTCTGAAAATTTTGACTTGAAAAAGGAACCTCGTTATCGTGCGGACACTTTGGTCAACAATGTGCAGTAAAAATGCCTTTGAATAGTTTCTTGCCTCCCGTCCAGCTGATTTTAACAAGAAGATGCACCGATTGCATGGTCGATTACTTTGAATAACAGAAAAAAAACTTTAACTTATTTCGTACAAAACGGCAACTTCATAGGTAAATACCTAATATATTTTAGTGTTTTACATGTATCATACATACTATTATGTTAAGATTAAAATATTGTATGACAACAATTAAGTTAAAGACATATTCATAAGAATTTTTAAGAAAATATTAAGGCTTCGTACTTTTTAACTGATATAGTTATAACCTTATTACTGCAAGCATTTATAATTTTTTTTGGAATGAGCCACTAAGATTTTTATTATTCTGTTTTTCTAAACACAAAACAAACTTAAATATTAACTTGTACTCCATAACAGCATCACTTACCGACTTATTTTAAAAAGTTTTATGTAACGTACATTTAAATTTATTATCTAATTCTTATTATTTCATTTTTCAATTTGTTTACACATTCCATTACATAATTCCGGGGACGTGTTATTCAGGTCAAATGGTATTGATATAATTATATACTTTCTAATTTTTTTTTAGCTGGCGGTTCACCTGATGTGACCGCCTGCCCATGGACATTTGCAACACCCGTAGGGTTGCAGATGCGTTGCCAACTCTTAATAATTTGGTCCCCGGCTACCTCACTCACCGACGAGATGCAGAAGTGCACTTCTAATTTACGCCGGTCTTCTGTGAGGTCGTGGTATTAACCCGGACGGACCTGTCCATTCGTGCAACAGCGAACACTGTTGCGTAGTTCTACCACCGTAAATCATGTATATATAACAATAGTTTGAGTATTATTGCAAATATGTATATAACACATATACAGGGAGGCTTATCTAAGTGTATCCATTTTTTTTATTAAACTCTAGACATAAATAATGGTATATAAAAATGATAAATATTTTAAATAACCCGTAAATAATTAATTACATTCATTTGAATTTACCTCAAAAACGGTGTGAGATATACGCAACTCACTTATTTCATGCGCGATCATTTATAACTAACACGCACACAAGTTCTTTTGTGTGCGTTAACAGTAAAATTTAGGTATTTATGAATGCCTACCGCGTTGTCATCAAGTTCTGTATTTTAGAGAATAGAATGGAATTTTTTTTTTAAAAAGTTTGTTTTTATTTCAATAAACGATTATACTACCGAGTCTGAACCTCCTGTGTAAATTTGGACAATTTTAAAAAAGCCTCCCTGTATGTATAATACTGTAAATATATTTTTGGAAATAAACCTTAATGACATTATCGTAATAAAAACGAATCACATTGTTAAAAAATTATAAAATAGTAGATTAGTATTTAGTACCATTTTACAAATGGAACTGTAACTTAGTAATTAATGGTACGTAGGATATTGATATTTATATGTATATGTGTTCTGCATTTGGCTAATTTGTTTTTTTTTTTTTACTAAATTATATTCATTACTAATATTTACCTTTTTTATAAATATCGTACTTTCATAAATTTATACTTCATTGGAAATCAGTTTATTTATTTATAGGTTCAAAAATTATTTTAAACATTTTTGGGTTTTGCAATAAAAATCTTCTTGTCTTATCTTTAGTAAGGGTAACTTTACTTTTTACTTTGGTTTTAAAATCCATAAAACTGCCATTGATGAAACAAGACTATGAGTAAGTTGCATTTGCGTTTTTATTATATTCAACTTAAAGTCTTCTTTTGTGGTTTTCCTATTAATTTACTTTTCAATGATGCTTTCACCCGTAAATAAGCGTTTAGATAATTATGACGATAGATTAGAATAAGAAAGAGGTAACCTAGTTTTTAAAAAAAGGCTTTAATGACCTCTATCTTATAGATTTTAAGGGAAGATTTAATTTTAAGTGTAGGAAAAAAGTAGGCTAGAACGTCAATGAATGTAAGGAACTGGAACTATTAATAATAATGAATATCGTTAATAATTAATCATAACAAAGTTCGTATAAGATGATACCATCTAACATACAACCATCACGTCTGCAGTCGCAGCGGTATGCAGGGCATATTCAAGGGTCAAAGTCCCCGAATATTTGTCGTTTCCCCAAACCGCATGACTTACATTCACTGAGGCTAGATTTGTTGTCGGCTTGTATTACGTTTACACGCATAAACGTGCGCGATTTCGGTCGAAGTTTGTGCTAACCCACTGCGGGGGGCCACGCTCTTTTTTTGCTTGATCGCCAGCTTTGCAATGTACTACGATCTTTTTCCCAACTTCTCGTTCCTTTTCGGGGGTAGCGCGATTGTTGGTTGGCGCTCACCGCACACTGCGTTGGTGAGTTTTCATGGCGCCGTGTGCATTCCTCACATTTTGAATAAATGTGAGGGAGCGAATAATTTGTTTCGGTTATTATCTTATACCTTAAACGAACAATATAATCGGAATCTCGGAAACGGCTCCAGCGATTTTCATGAAAATTAGTTTATGCGTAGATTCGGGGGCTTGAAATCGATCTGGCTAGGTTTCATTTTTAGAAAATGTCGTTATATCCAGTTTTCAGGGAATGAAAAATGTCATTCGAATACGACGGTAAATTTCACCGACAAAAAATGTTATAATAATTCTGTCGGTAATCGGGCGGCACCGAAACAGAAGGCCCTGGTGCATGTCACGATCATTTATAAACTTATTTTTCTACTTTTTTTTCGATTCCAGATTATTGCTTTCTTTATTTTTTTTTGTCGATTCAGATGATTTTGTTGTTTTTTCCCTTTTTTTTAAATTTCTTTCTTTTGTGAAAACACCAGTTAATATTTTCTTATTATTACGTCGGTAAGACCGAAAAATATTATGCGTATTTCATTACTCAGTAACTTGTATCTAAATGTAATTTCCAAAATACATGATTTATCAAAAAAAAAACCTCCAGGCACTTAAAATGATAATGACGGTGTTAAATCTATCTTACAATAACCTTACGGATATTAGAGTTGACAATTTTGGAGAACTGATAAACATCACAGAACTGAATGTTGATCACAATAATATACACAATATGACAGATGATACATTTAAATATATCACCTGTCATATTGTGTAAAGGTGCATATACATTAAAACATCCATTATATTATAGATACATTTAAACATCTAAAGGCATTAAAAATGCTCATAGTGTCACATAATCAAATATCTGAATTGGTGGAAAGGTTGTTTCGAACGCTAGCAAGACTCACTCATTTGGATTTTGAGTGATAATCCTATATCATATTTGGATCCAGATGTGCTCGTGGATATTCTACGCTTAAAAATTCTTAAATGGAGAAAGTGCCTTGTGACGAGGATTAACCTCTATCTCTATCATTTGGTTAATCGTTTAGAGGCACTAGACTTAGGGCAGAATCAAATCAAGGTTTTAGCTCTTAACGAATTTGCCAACCTGACAAAACTTAAAACGCTCAGATTGGATGGCAAGGAACTGCCTGCGATCGTAAACGTAAAAATGTTTGTAAAAATTATGAGTTAAAAATGTTGTTCGCAACTTCGCAACAACAAGATTTTACTGCTGGCACCTAATGCTCTTGTACATCTAAATTTGCTTGTTGATTTAGACATAAGCTACAATAGAATAGAAAGTTTTCATCAATTGCAAACCTTCTCATCAGTAGCACGGTCATTGAAAACAATAAATATAAGCGGGAACAATTTACTTCCATATGAAATAGCTTACGGTTTTTTCGTTTTCCGTTCGTTGTCTGATATTCATAATGTGGATTTGGCCAATTTGTCGTTAGATGAATTACCTCCCAATTTTTTTTAGTATGACAAACGCCTAATTGAAATAGATCTATTCTGGAATAAGTTTACTAAATTTCCTTTCCAATTGCTGCCTAAACCAAATTTTCTGCAGAGTCTTGACTTATCACGAAACAGGATTGAAGGTTTGGTGTACGAGGATTTAGTGATATTGGAGGCGATTGGCCACGTGGACTTTTCAGGGAATTCTTGACGTTGCAACAAATGTTACGTTGTGACCATGTTCGTATAGATGGCGACTACCCATCTGAACTTTACCATCCGTGATCTAACTTGCAACACACCTCTGCGTCTGCACGTTTGCAGTTGCGGTGGTATGGACGGTTTATTATACAATGTTTGTGCTAACCCACTGCCGAGGGGCCGAGCTCTCTTTATGTTTGATTGCCAGCTTTGCTATGGACTTCGATCTTTTCCCCCAACTTCTCGTCCCTTTTCGGGGGGAGCGCGTAC